TCAATCATCTGATCAGCAACTTCTTCATGTCACGATTTGACAGTTTGGTTGCATGTGTTTTTGCTAGTTGAAACCAATCGATATTTGCATAAATTAAAAATAGTCATATAATAAAACATTTATTAACCTCGCGCTCTTTTAATAAGCGTTTAATGTATCACCACATTTTGCCCAGGGCCACTGAAAGGAGTAGCTCTCTGCCGTCATCGTCTCGGGAAAGTAGCTCTCTGCGTGATAAAAGTTGGAGACACCTGGTCTACTTTATGGTTTTAATCTGTTTTATATATTTTTATTCTTTTATACTTGGTGAAGCTAAGGATAAGTGTTTATTTATTTTGTACTTTTTTGTGCAGCACTTTGGAAACGTAACTGTTAAACGTGCTATATAAATAAAGTGGATTGGATTGGATTGCATTCACGCCAGGACTTTGCATTCAACTTTTTTTACTTTTTCAGTTTCCTGCTATGTCTTCCTTACTTGTATACGGCAGGAACTAAAGCTGATTACAATTCTTCAAGCTGCTGAAGTTCGAGTTTTCTTCAACCCAAACTCTTTAAAACTACCATTAAAAAAAAGAAATGCATGACAAAATAAACAGTATTGTTTGTGGAATTGCTGTTGAAATTGTGTTAAGATGTTCCCAAACGCTATCGCCGCTTTTATGTAGTTTCTGATGGAAGTGTCATTCTCAGACAATTGCACCACGGCTGAAAAAGCATAGGAAAAATAGACTTTTCATATCTGCAAAGCCTATTCTCCTTGTCTCCATTTGAATGAAAGATTAAAATGAATAAAAAATAAAGACAAGCCGTAAACAAAAATCATTTTCTATCGAGATTATGTATTTATTCAAATGCCACAGTTTATAGAGTCAACAGTTGCCGCCGGGAGAGTGTGGCACATATTCTGTAGAGCTTCTAATTTTTTCTCCTAGTAATAATGAAACAGAATAAATTAGCATTATTTATATGTCTGTGGTGAAATGGAAGAAACTGTCAATCTGAAACCACAGCGCTGCCTGTACTTTAGCTCTGTACCTTTGGCTCAATTAACAAAGAAGACGACTTATTGTATGTTTAAATAAATGGGAATAATTATGTGTGCTGCCTTTAATATTGTCTTGTGTAAAGATGGGCCTTTTTTGCTTGACTAAGATTTATCCTTTGAGTTGCAACCGCTGCGTAGACACATTAAGTCTCTACTTTGTTACTCAATTGGAAAATGAATTTGCCCTCACATCTGATCTACCTTTTCAGTACACTAATTAAAACAGAAAAGTTAATTTATTTTGGGTACTCAAGCTGTGAATAAATGATGTGTAGAGTGTGCTCTTGCAAAAGTTTGTAAACGTCTTTCATACGTCAAATATTTTCCTTGCGAGGTTATAGGACCAACATTTTCACTTATTACACAAAAATATAAAACACAGTTATTTAGAGCATCTTGTCAATCCTAAAAAACATGCATGGAAGTGGATGTCAGTTTCTATTCAAAATGTGAAGAGGAGGTGAAACTTTTAAAAGACCCACCCATGCTCACCCACGCAGCCTCCTGATTGGTCAAAATGAATTCAAATCCTGATCACTGGTTAAACTCGGGTGACAGTAGCTCAGTTGATAGAGCATGGACCTCTGAGCCAAAAGGTCGCGGGTTCGAGCCTACCAAAAGGCTTTAACCTTCGTCATGAATAATTCACCAGTGAATGAATAATTACATGTAAACACGTCTTTAAGGGTCCAAAAAAGAGCTGTATAAAACTGATGCATTATTATTATAACTATTCTCCTCCAGAACATCGGACTGGTCATGCTGCAGGCAGAGTTTTCTCCAATCCAAAAGATTCAGCATGTTTTGCCCATATGGATGTAACTTTGTGAACTGTATGTATGTGATCTCTGCTATTCCTAATCATCATAAAGGAGCACAGACCCGGTCAGCTGAAAGATGTCATTCATTCTTTAAATCTTTCTGACATTGATTTTACGTTACATATTGCCTAGTTATCCACAATTTTGGTTGCAATACAAAATCTGGAGGTAGAGACTTTTTCAACACATGCGGATCCACTTGTGCTGGGAAACGAAACAACCCAAAAGCCCAGCTTTCATTAAGTAGGCCTGGTAAAACTAATGGCTGAGTCATTGCCCTTGGGGAAGGCTGCATGTGCACTACTGGCTGAATAAGGAACAAACACTATTTTCACTGAACCAATTTTACTTGCAGCAGCTTTAGTTTCAGCTGTCACTATCCTCGTGCTCCTTATATTGTAATGTGTCTGCTAATAACAATAATACATTTCATTTGTATTGCACATTACAATCCATGAAACCTCAAAGTGCTACAGATTCAAATACAGTACAACAAACAGACAAAAAACATCAGACGTACAGAAAATATAAAAAAGAAACAGTTTAAAGCTCATAAAATCTCTAATGGGCCTGATAAAAAAGGAATGTTTTCAGACCTCTTTAACTACTACTACGACTATACAGTATGCACATGTTCTTTGTCTCAACATTTTGTGAACTAAACAGAACCATAACATAGTGTCTATATCTTATTAGAATACTTTTTATCTTTTACATTCTGAAAGCTGATTGGCGACGCACTTAACTAGAGATGAGAAAACTCGTTTATTTTTATTTTTATTGTGGTTTCAAAATTTGCTAAATATTCAACAATATACTCCATAAGTGGGATTCCATAAACAACTTAACTGCTGCATTACTGTAGAGTGCCTTTGCCACTGACTGGATTTGTTCTTTTACCATTTTGACGGTTCACATCTTGACAAGTACAGCAGCTGAATTTATGTCGATCCTCTTACCATTTAAACAGTTTCACGGCTTCAAGATATTTTGGGCGAAGGTGCAAAGAGCAGAGGAAGCGGGGAGCTCTGGCTGTTCTGTGCAGATACACAAGTCCAATGCTTTTATGCTTGGACTTGTCAAAATGGCCTCGTCAGCCCGCTATCTCCCGGGACACGCGTCGCACTACAGAGGGATTACAGCTGGTTATGAAGCATTTCCAGCGCCATAGGTGTGTGCGCAAACTGCTGGTGTGTCAACTTCCACCGCAATATAGATCATGCATTCTCTCTCTGCTTGGACTGAAGCTTTACCACTTGTGCAGTAAAGTTGACAGCAAAACTAGGGTGGACTTGGAGGCCTCACACTGCAGATATTTGACATACATGAGCAGTGTGTGTTCTCTGGAGATACTGCTCAAGCTTCTCTCTTTTGAGCAGGTGGAGTTTGTGAGCTTTTGCCCCTAAATCACAACAGCATTGGTCTCCGAGGACTTTATGTACGTAATGTTTATTTCTATAGAGCATTTTACAGACCACCCAAAGCACTTTACAATTGTTCAGAGTTCAGATTTACATCTTCTCCACACGGCGATGACGGAAGCCATGTGGAGAGATGCGGGATGACTTTAAAAAGTTGTCGATTCTCCAACATAGATCAGAGAATACAACCCAGATAGTCCAAAATTAACAAATACATAGGAGTGATTGGTCCATGTCCAATGTCCTTTTATGTCCTGGATCACCACTGTCCTCAGGCCTCAAAGAGGAAGAGAAGGGATCTGCACCTGAGCGGAAAGACTATAGATCCAGGAGTCAGGCTGTAAAACGAGGACCGAGGCCATGTGGTCTATGTTTTTAAAAACATAAAAAATGCCAATTTAAGCAAATGTAATGGTGTTTCTTCAGACTGAAACCTCCCTGCTGTGGATAGTCGGCAGGTAGCTAGTTAGCCTCTGTCGTGTCTTCAGACTTGAATCTCCTACGAGGATTTTACACAATCACCTGTGTAAATGTAACTGTATACTTGAGAATTCTGACACATTCCTTGTGTTTTGTAAATTATTTAATAGCAAATTTGGACTATATTATTCTAAGTAACTTAAAACTTAATTAAATACAAATCTTGATTACTCCACCTCCCTCTGGTTAGCACAGACTAAGCAGAGCGATAAGACAAAAATGGCCCTGGTCAAATGAATATCTTTTAATTGATTTGTAATTCTTGTGCAGATTTTGATTCTATTATGGAAAAGTTTTGAAAGTTCTGAAAGTCCAATAAGTCCATTACACATGCACTATTAAATGTAGTCCCACCATTTGTGACAATTAACAATCCCTTTGGCCCACATGGAGAGGCCCATTAGTCACAGCCTTATCAGTGCCTGCTGTTAAGGAGACTGAATTAGCCGTTATCAGACAGCCCTGAAAATAAGTGGAAAGCAAACACAGATTAGCCTTAGATCGAAACCATCGGCCAACCTCAGCCACTACATGCACCAGTGCACACACACACCTACCTTGGGATATACTTAAATTCAGTGCTATCAATATCCAGTGATGCTTTCATTCATTTACATAAGAACTCAGTGATATCCCAGAGGCCTTAAAAGGGGTTACACTGAGGCACTGTTTTTTCCTCAGAAGTTGTCTGTAAATATCATAACGTCTAATTTGTTATTGTAAGCGTCTTACAGAGGCTTAAAGAGATCATATGTAGCATGCACAATTAATGTCAGACTTCATGTTTGTACCTGGTTTCATTGAAGTATGTGTGCTGCTAGTTTGCGTGTGTGAATGTTGTAATTTTTATCAAAAGAAAAACAAAGAAAAGAAGAAAATGGATCACAAACCCATTTTAAATTTCACCTGCTTTTGTAATTCTGCTTTTGTACTCGATTATTTGTTTGAATTATATCATAAACATACATTTGTGGACATAGTTTTTTATATGTTATATGTTTAAATAGGAAAAACTCTGTTGAGAAAAGGACATGTTGACCAATTACCTGGGGACACATGTAATATAGGTGTCATTAATAAATATAGATAAAACAGTACGATGCCTACGCTTAATGGCTAAGCGGATGCTGTCCATGGTGCTGATTCTTTTCAGGAAAGGTGTGAAAGCGCTGCCATCTAGCGGCCCAAAATATTAATTGCAGTCAGACTAGGAACGGGAACTGAGAGTGAATGTTTGTACCCGGCCGAGACACAAACAAACGGGCACCGCTAGATCTGAGGACATCGCTCTGCAGATGTTGTTTTTGTAAGTATTTTAATGTGGACGCTGCAAAATATGATAAACAAATCATATGTTTTATTCCTTAAAATCTTTCTGAAGTGGTCGTATTAGGGGATTTCTCGTCGTAATAGTGGTGAGGTTTTCTTTGTACAAACACCGACTCATCATAGTCATTATTTTTAGGAGCTTAAAATGATTTGTGTTTAATGTCCTTAGGGTTAAACATTTTGTTATAATGAATTTTTAATATACATCTCGATGTGATCGCTCGTTCACTTTATGTGACGGCGGTAGTATTATTTAAAGGTGGGTGACCTAATATCCTTGTTTCTTAAATAACACATGTTGTATGTAATGATTCCAACAGAAAGAGTCTTGTAAGTATAATGTTGTGAATAAAACAGACCACAACATGCTGTCTTCATCAAAATAGAAAACATGTTGTTTGTTGCATCCTTGTGAGTGTTTGCATCTCTCTGTCTCTAAAATACTCTGATTTAAGGCTGTGACGAGACCAATAGTACATTCATGTGAAAACCAGTGATTGAACCGGAGCGAGAAAGTAGTTAGGGATTTTTTTTCACATGGTTCTTGTGGTTTGACAGCTTTAATGATTTGATTCTAATAATCCATGTAACCAGATCGGCTTAATGGACTGACAAAATCTGAGATGGTGCTGAAGGATCTTCCCAGAGAGGCCCTGCTGCGGCCCCTGACTCGAAATGAAGTCCTGGGGATGATGGTCAGGCTCACAATCTTTGGAGCTGCTACTTACTACAGCATCAAATGGGTCCTGGAGGCAATGGACCCAACTAGCAAGCAAAAGAATCAGGCCAAGAAACGAGTGAGGGAATGTCCAATGATGCAGTGATTTATAGATACTGTAATGATTAACTATAGTTGCGTTTTGCAGGCAGAGCAGCTGATGAAAAGGATCGGTGTGGAAGGGGTCACCCTAACGGAGTACGAGATGAACATTGCCTGCCACCTTGTTGATCCTCTAACAATGAAGGTAAAATTGTTGAAACTCAATGGTGTGTGTGAGCTGCCTTTACTCAGGATCAAGATGTTTAAAATCTGCTACTGTTTGTGTAAAAGTTAAACCTACTGTATATAAGAATCTGGGCTAAAACAGTATACAAGAAAATCAAGAAAATCCTAAACTAGCATCAAAAACAGATGTGGGTCTGTCATTAGAATAAAAATGTGGAATGATCTTAATGATCATCTTCCATCCATCCATCTTCTTCCCCTTAATCCATTTCTGGGTCGGGGGGGTGGCAGTCAGAGCTGCACCCAGTCACAGAGCACCAGCTCCTCACTGATCCTCCTGCAGGTGGTGAGTCCACAGGAGCTGAGATCTTTCAGTGGGAGCTTCAGGCAAAGTGGGGTTAAGTGTCTTGCCCAAGGACACAACAACATCAGACATCAGTGGGAGTCGTGAAGTAGGTCTAATGGTGGGCTCGAACCCACGACCTTCAGGCTCAAAGGCCAATGCTCTACCAACTGAGCTACTGTCGCCCACTAACCTAAGATTAATGATCATCTTAGGTTAGTTAATACATTTATCTGTGTATAAAACTACTTTAAAATGTGAAAATTAATTTATATATACTTGCCTTAATGATAATATTAATAATAATAATAATAATAATAATAAATAATGAAGATGTAAAAAGTTAACAAATACCTTGTCCCAGCAAATATGTATTTTGAGTTTGAAATCAGTAAGTAAGTAATGTTTATTTATATAGCGCATTTTACAGATCAAGTAGTATGTATTTTATTTTACCTTTAACATAGTTGTTGTGTTTAAGTAGCTATTGACCTGTATGTGACGTGATGTCAGGATGGGCTTACATTAGCAATTTCCTTCAGCCCAATCGTTTTTTTGGTTGGCATACAGTCAGTGTATGTAACATCTGTTATTAATCAAACATTTGACCAAATAATTACATTCATACAGATTTATTACATCAAAATAAAGGCCTTCTCAAGATATTAACTGAACCAAACAGATACCCGATCCAACAAAATATCCAATATTGGTCTCAATATCTATCCCGTGCCAATATTGTATCGGTGCTTCCCTTGCATTTATCTTTTGAATCTGCAGGTGACCTGGAGGGACATTGCTGGTCTTGATGAAATTGTACATGAGCTGCAAGACACAGTAATCTTGCCCATTCAGAAAAGACACTTACTGGCAGGATCCAAGCTTTTTCAACCCCCTAAAGGTTTGAATCATGCACATGTCATTTGAGTGAGAGAATCTACTAATAAAAATTGTAATAACTAGAGTTGACACCTTCTTGCAGGGGTCTTGCTGTTCGGCCCTCCAGGCTGTGGGAAGACTATGATTGCTAAGGCCACAGCCCGAGCTTCTGGGTGTAAGTTTATAAACCTCCAACCATCTTCTCTGACGGATATGTGGTATGGCGAGTCCCAGAAGCTCACCGCTGCGGTTTTCTCCCTGGCTGTCAAAATCCAGCCCTGCATTATCTTTATTGATGAAATTGGTGAGTAGATCAAACAGGAAATCCATCTAACATAATTGCATTTTACATGTTAACCAAAATGCAAATATTCCGTACACCAGTGGTAATCTAAAAAGCGCTGTGTCAGCTGTTTGTCCCCCGCAGAACTCCAACATAGTTTGTAAAGTTTCCTCTATTACTGATAACGAATGTCTCTGTAGAGCAATATCAGCGTCAGCACCTTGTTTTCACCTTTATTGCGATAAAGTTTCTTAAAAGTTTTCAAACCGTTCCCATGCAGAGTCATTTTTAAGAAATCGATCCAGTCTTGACCACGAGGCCACAGCGATGATGAAAGCTCAGTTCATGAGTCTCTGGGATGGACTGGACACATCCGCAGCAACTCAGGTCAGAGACAAAACTATTTGTTTGGTCTATGGAACAATAAGGTGTGTTGAAGTTAGGTGTTACAGCTCTAATTTTTCAGACTGAAATAATACATAATCTTGCACAAAAGAGATTATCTGTAAACTTTTTAACATATTTGGACATTTCCTGTTTGCACATTTCTTGTCTTTTGCACAACCTGAGTGATACTATTCTTGGGTTTCATATGACGTCAGGGCAGTGGCGCGAAAAACAAACGTAGGACAGGACGTGACGTACCCTGGCGGTGCAGTCTGCCGGGTTTATACACGGAGATATAGTAGAAGAAGAAGCGCTGTCAAAATGCCATCTTTTTGAGCGGTGTACGCTTGTAGCAACAGCGTAAACAGAGACAAAGACAAGATTTTCTTCCGTGTTACAACTGTGGGCTCATATAAAGAAGGACACTTTGAAAAAAATCACTGGAATGAGGCGGGGCGAGGTGGATCAAGGCTTTCCCAGATAAGCGCCCCCTGCAGGCCACCCAAATGAAACGCAGCAATTTCTTCTGTTTTTCTTTCCAAAAATACCCGAAATCAAGACTCTTTTGAGAAATATTTTTTAATTCTCCCTTAGAATTGAGTGTCCTCCCCCCAATTAAGACTGTTACAACAACCCTACACCGCACATGATGAGAGCCTTTTGACTCCAACACAGACACGATGTTCATGGTTTTCAATGGGAGCAAAACTGAGTTGTCCCACCTCTGCTCATTTTCCCCCTACTGGCCAGTTTAATGAAACCCAAGAATAGAGAAGTTGATGTAAATTTCTCCATGGTGAGATCAATAAAGTTGATCTTTTCTTCTACTGTATTATCGTGTTGTGAATAGGTTTTGGTCATGGGTGCCACGAACCGGCCCCAAGATGTGGATCCAGCGATTCTTCGGAGGATGCCTACAACGTTTCATGTGGGACTGCCAGTAAGTTATCCTCACTAGCAGATGTTAGTAGCTTTTTAAAAATGTATTATTTCCAGATTAAAAGTCTCTCCGGAGTAGTCGCACCAGCTGAAAATGCATAATAAAGAAGGAAAAATAGTATATAAGTATAGCATAAATACATTTGCTAATACAAATAGAACACTGAAATATATCAAAAACGTCTCGCTAGGGTATAGGTCACACCCCCAGCCAAACTATGAATTCAAATTGTAATTTATAATCAGAAAAATACAATAATATGTATAATTCATGTATTGTCATCATATAATCAACATAATGCTATTGTTTACAGAATGCAAGACAGCGACAAGAAATCTTGTGTCTGGTTTTAGCGGGCGAAAATGTAAGATTGTGGGAATCTCTCATTGTTTAAGTTCAAAAAGCATCAAGATTTTATTTTTAAACGTGAACGTTTTGTGATATAGTTGAGCAACGCGATAAACCTGAAGGAGATCGCCGAGAAGACGGAGGGGTACTCGGGCAGTGACCTCCGCGAGCTATGCCGGGACGCCGCCATGTACCGCGTGCGAGACTACGTACGAAAGGAGCAGATGAGGCAGATCGCACAGCAGCTTCTGGACGATGACGAGGAAGAAGAAAAGTATGTAGATTTGGGTTCATGCTCTAGAATTGTATTTTAGTTGGAGGGCAGGTGCCAACACAGCTCTATGAGAAAGAAGCCATTACATTAGTCAAAGAAATGCTGAAAAAGAAAGTGTCCCAATGATTAACCGTGTCATCATCTGACAGTGCTTAGATTCACAAACCTGACAAAAGATTCTAATGAAACGTCCCTTTCCTCTGACCAACATCATGCACATGTTTTTGAATGTTATCACCACTTCTAGACAACATTTATGATCAAATAATCAGACCATAGTTAGATATGTACTGAGAAAGGTTAAGTTTAAAGTGCACATTACATTGTCTCCAAATGGCAGTTTCTTCTTTTCATTTGGACCCATCCTGCAAATTGTCAGGAGCAGTGGTTGCCATCGTACAGCGCCTGGGAAAAGAGATTTTATGACAGTTTTTGTTTATGAATTGGCCGCAAAATCACAGAGAAATTGGCTCTTAATTATGACTTGAATTTTGACTGTTACCATAGTTACATACGTCTTGTACTTTCCAAAAATTGTGGTTTGTGGTTCTTGTAATTATTCCTTGTGTCCCTTCTCTCCCATAATTTGCATTCTATTAGATTTGTATTGTACTGTGATAAAGCTCAAACATCCTTTATAAAGATTTATCGTCAGCTGTTGCTAAGTGACTGTTGAAACCTCTCTTGAAGAAAGCCATTGTTACAAAATAATTATTTTTAACTGCTCCACTCAAAGCAGTGAATGCACAGCTTAGCCATCGATAGTTTTGTTCGGAACAGCAGCATGTTCTTCGTTCACGTTTTTATGACTATGGTATTTAGTTAGCCATCACCAAGCATTGTGTTCATATGATCATGATATAACGTCTGCTCTTTTAGACCTGTGGACGAAGAGAGTTTGAGGCCAGTAACTCAACTCGACTTGCTCTTTGGACTGGACAAGATGAAGGAATCCAAACGAGCCACTGTCATCATGTCGCCTTGTGCTGCGGACGTGCCACTGGACTGACCTCAACTATCAGACTTTGCATCTACCACAGAGACCCTCAGAGACCCTAACCCCAGCCATGAGGTGAAGACTCACTCATGCATGTTTGTGTACGGAGGCAATAAGCAGCCCCCAAAGCCATCGTGGTTTCAACAAACTGGTCAAAATGTAAATAAAATTATGTCATGTACTGTATCACCAGAGTATAGTAGAAATGCAGGACTAGCTTCAGGTCATAAGTCTCGACTATTATACGACTATTCTAACAATCATCGTTATTTCACACCAGCAGCAAAACCTCCTGTTTCACCTGCTGTGAACTACGTCAGGATGAATAAGGGATTGCATCTTCATTACAGGAGATATGTCTTTGCACTATTGTTATTCCTTAGTTATTTTGTGCCACTGTCTATTTATGAATCATGTGTAGCTTAGTTATTATTTATTTAACTTATATTTTAAGTTGGCGATGTCAGCATCAATACACATGGCTCTGCGTCCCGTTTTATTTTTATTCCCACAAGGAGTTTGAAAACTTTTGGACTGTCAAGCTGTCAGTCTGAAATCATGCCGTGTGTTTTCCTTGTCAACATGAAAAGGCTTATTGTTAGCCGAGAAACACCAGCTTCTCTTCAGTACTTGATATGAAGTGTGGTTCAACAGCCTCATGGGGGCGCTGTGGCTGCACAGCTTTGAGCAACACAGGTGTTCTCTGAGCCACACTACAACATTAGCACAGGAAATGAATTGAAGAGGCTGCATGAGACTGTCGGCCTTATTGGCTTATTTGGTAATTTTCCCACATCTGTGTCTCTTCATTAGAGCTCCTCAGGTGACAGGGAAAGGTCAGGCCGTTGCTAAGAAAATAAGTGTCGAGGTGCTCATGTTGCAGACTTCAATCCTTTCTTAGAAACTGGTGGGTCTGTGTGATTAAAACTGTAAAAAAAAAATAAAACATCTGAAAGTTGTGTGCATGTGACACATTCACTCCTGTTATTATAAATGTAATAAAAGAAACATCTGTATGAACAATGTGTGAATTATTAAGAAGTTTGAGAACATTATCACTGCTTTAGTTCTTCTGTGCGTGAACAGAAAACCGTTTGTAGTGAATGATGCAGTCAAGCATAACTAAAAATATCACGCAATCTCTGTTCATATTTACTCTGGTTTTTCTGAACAAAACTATCCAATAATTGAACAAGCAAACTCCCAGCTTTTGGATCGTATAAACTAAACTTCTCCTGAGCTCCCAGCACCTCCTCCATATGTGAGGGAGGTCTCATGGAAGTCTGCTACACCACGATGGCGGATAGTGGGGATGCACTGCAGCCAGATGGAACAGTGATATTTACAGTTCTGTCTGTAATGAGGCTAAGTCTGGAGTGTTTTCTCTCTCATTTCAAAAGGGAAAGCGTGTATGATCTTTGCAGCATTGATTACTGATTCATAAAGATGGCTTATTCATGAACTTCGAGCCCTTTGCACACAGAAAGTCCCAGTACAACTGAGGAAGTTACTCCAGAGAAGCACAGACAATTACAAACGTGGTCATTATCATTTCAATGGAAATATGATCGAAATATTCACTAGTGTGTGCCAGAGGTGGCCAAAAGGCATTGAGTTTGTTTATTCCATAGTTATGATAATCGAGTTATGTAACAAAGTTCTTTTGGATCACAAATGCAGGTATTCAATAGGTTTTTGGACTTAGAAAACCCATTATGTTGCTTCAAAACTATGATAAAGACTGAATTATACATTTACCAGATATCTCAAACTTTTGAAGTTTTGAAGTTCACAGTTTCTTTTTTTTGTTTATTATTTCATAGTCTTTGGTTCTGTGTAAGAGCTCTATTAGCAAGAAACATTGTCCTGAAACAAATATTCAAGCAGACAAAGACAATGGTCCTTGAAGAAGAGAGGACACATCAAGGAAATGCAAAACCTTTTAGAGGTACAAGTATGCTCATGACTCACCACATACATCTAACATCGGATTGGTCAAAACTACCACTTTTTTGTATTTATTTTTAGCTCAAGATGTTTCTTTTAACCTTATGTGTCTAACTAATCTTTTGGTCAAACAAAAAAGAATAATTGTATAAAATATCTTGTTGAAAATATAGCAATCTAGTTGCCCGACCACCCAGATCGTTCTGTCTCTCACTCCACACTCACTGTTTGGCACTTCAGATGTTTTGGTTTCGACTATACCTATAGACAAATTCCCGGATTTAGTTTTTGCACCATAAAGTTTCCATCTTCCATGAGACAAGTCGGAAAATGCAAACCAGCTCTGCAAATATGTTTTTTAATATACATTCACTTTTGATATCTAATACTACTTATGAAGTTTGTCAACGTCTGCATCACAGAACCACATAACCAAAGAGAGACAAGTTTATAACATTCAAAACGGCACCAGCAGATCCCAGCCACACGCAGCCGCACCACAGTTTGCGCAGCCCTGGCAGCACAGACAGTTCAGGGTCGATGAGCATGTGGGATGAAGCTCTCCGCTGTCCTGTGGAGCACCCTCTTTTGTGGCTGCCGCTGTAATGGCTCATGTGGCGGGTGACAGCTCCTAAAAGCCTCATCTCCATCCACCGCCATCGAACAGGCCCAAACCTCTCTGCGGGAAATCCCAAACCCCCCATGATCACTGGGGTTTGAGAGTCAGTCTGGGTAAGTCACACAAAGCCGTGGTATATAAGCATTTTGTGAGCAAAGGCAAACGGAATTCAAGGAGTTCAGGGAAGAGGATTTGAAAGGAAAGGACATACTGACATAGTGGATTTGTGTTTCACATTTTGATTTTGAACAAACTGTATTCTTGTTGGCTTTCCATGCAGGATCTCTGCCATATCCATTGGTGGTCTCTGCCTTAGTGGTTGGCCTGATTGATCCAAACCAATTCATCCATGTTTATGTATCAATATTCACACACTGCAAAATAATATATTGAATATAAGTCCTTTCTTGAATTCAAGTCAAGTTTATTTGATAACCGTTATTATTATATCGCACATTCACAACTGCAAGAACCCAAAGTGCCGTACACTCTGCGATTGACACGGAAACACAATTTCACAGAAAAACAGAATCAAGCCTATTTTAATTTGTGTCATAATTTGGAGTGAAGAGGTATCAAACAGTTTTGATTCTCATTCACAAATATCCATACTTAAAATTCAATACAAGGTTCAAGACTCAATTGATTTGCTATATGCAGTTGAAAACAATCAAAAAAACACAGTAATATGCTTAAATCCGTTGCTTGTATTTCAAAATTTTATTGTGTTCAGTGGATATTCTGAAATGAGCATCTTTATTGGATAAATAATTTAGTAATAATGATAACAATAATTATCATAATGATAATTCTTTTGGAGAAAGACTTTCGATCAGGTTTGCTGTCGGTTGCATCAGAATTACTTTGCTTCAGGTTGAAACATTGTGTCTCAAGTCTTTCTTAGTTATTGATTGATATCTTCCATCCTCTCTCTGCTTCCGTTAATCAGAGCTATTGAAGTTTGAAATTCTCCCTTTTGAATTGTAGTGAAGGCATGGGGAGTGTTTGAGAGTTGTTTAAAAGGAAATGAAATCTGTCTTATCTGAGGAACAAGGTGGGGACATTTCATTTATTAGCCCTATGAGAGAATGTGATTAAAAATGTGGTCTGAAAATAAAAACATTCATTTATTGGGTCAATGTTTAATGTCAAGTTTATTTCTATGGCACATTTACAACAACAATCGCTGCCCAAAGCACTGCACAGCATAATACATCCAATACAAAAATATAATTTTTTTTAAAATACAACAACAATAAAAGGCTATAGTAGAAACAGAACAAATATTACAGCAGTGCAACACCTCTTAGTTGCCAAAGGCCAGAGTAAAAAGATGAGTTTTTAATAAAGTCTTAAAAACATTGAAAGAAGCTGCGCTTCGAATAGACAAAGGGAGGCTGTTCCAGAGTTTAAGAGCAGCTACAGAGAAGGCCCGGTCACCTCTCGTTCTCAGCCGTGATTTGTGTACGCTAAGCAGAAGCTGACCACTGGACCTCATCTGTATGGAGGGAGTGTAAGGGGACAGCAACTCGGACAGGTAGGCTGGGGCCAGACCATGAAGACTTTTAAAAACCAGAAGCAGCATTTTAAAGTGGATACGAAAGCTGACAGGGAGCCAGTGCAGAGACGACAGAACAGGTGTGATGTGTTCTCTACGCCTGGTCCCTGTCAGCAAACGAGCAGCCGAATTTTGCACGAGCTGCAAACGGTGAAGAGACGACTGGTCTAGACCACACTACAAACAACTGCAGTAGTCGAGACGAGACGATAAGAACATGTGCACAACTTGCTCAAACTTATCAAAGGGAAGATAAGGCTTCACTTTACTAAGGTAAAAATAGAAAAAAATCCGCACAGCTATGCAGCTCCCAATCAGTGTATTTTATTCACATACCACGCTGTAACGTTTCGGGCTGAGGCCCTTCGTCAGACGTTTTGCAATTTTTTAATCCAGCACGCTAGCCCAGACTACAGGGATATGCGGCCTTATTTGACATTTTCTTTCACTTTACTAAGGACCCGCAGTTGGAAATAGCTGGTTTTCACAACAGAAGTGATTTGTTTGTCCATTAGAACACCAAGATTCTTAACCACAGTCTGAGTGTGTGGAGCTAACGGGCCAAGGATAACGTCTGTGGATCCAGGAAAATTGGACAAAAACACAACAACTTCGGTTTTTACTTTTGTTAAGTTTAAGAAAGTCAACCATGTTTGAACATCCTGGGGACACTGCAGCAGGGCAGGAGTGCTGCCTGATTTAAAAAGCAAGTATATCTGCAGATCATCTGCAAACCTAAAACAACATATTGTTCCAGACGAGATATTAAAATGTTATGATCAACTGTGTCAAAGACTCCAGTTAAGTCGAGGAGCACAAGCACAGCAGGATTACAGGAATCAACTGTTAATAAAAGTAGGTCATTAAAAACTCTCAAGAGGGCCAAGTGACACAATCTGTGTTTGATTGAAATACATGTTTAAAGTGACAGTACGTAATATGCACAATTGGTGGAAGTCCACTAAAGTCATTACAATAACAATACAACGTTCTTCCTGTGACAGACTACTGCTGATGCAATCCACCTTCTGGCGTTTAGCTAGAACCAGTACTAACTCTGTATTATATATGACTTATTTTTGTTCCTCCTTTCATTTAAATATGTGTGGTGTTAGGTTTTGTTTGTGATGTTTTCAGTGAACAAAAACAGCTACATTTCATCTGGCAAACTGGCAACCCAAATGTGAGGCTTGTTTTGTGCATTGAATGTATACTGTAAACAAAGAAACTGTAAACATATTATGGGCATCAATAAGTCACACACATTCCACTTTTGTTCATAAAATGTCAACTACGATTTGTACCTTGGAGAGGCATAAGATTAAAATAGTACATATTCTTGCAGACCCCTCAAGAATATGTGAGAAAATAATGAATCAATATATTCATTCAATAATCAATTGTGGAGGCAACATTTCATATGAATGCAGTCACTATCTAAAAACTGTCTTCCTGAAAGCACTTTGAGTTTCGACAGGTATGAACTGTGCTATACAAATAAACTGTGCTGATGTTGAATAGAATCACTTAGTAGTCTTGTGTGTGGTTGCATGTGATGAGCTGGCACTCGGCTGCGTGGTCAGACAGTCCAGCCTCAGAGTCGGTCTGTCTGCCCACCTCCAGTCTGCGCACTGAAGATCCGCCCCGACTGACTCATCCTGCTCGAGAAAATCCAACTCGGGTAACGTTGGCCAAAGGAGCGCATGGTGGGTTCTTTTCACAACACCAGAGCTCAGATTCATAACAATTGTGTACATATCTTTGTGACACTCTGAAAACTGCATTTTCACTCCTTAGGCTATGTAAAGGTTTTAGATGAGGTCGAGGTCTTGCTTACTCTTACTGCATGATAATAGGCAGCTCATGAGATTTAAGATTTGCGCAAAGCCTAAAACCATCATTCTTTCAATCATTGATAAACACTGACAGGGAAAATGTAATTATATGAGACTGCTAGAGAAACAGAGCTTATTTAACCTTAATTAATAGGTTAATTATATTAGCAGGAAAAGGTTTCCTGTGATAAAAATCAATGAATTTAAATTGATTTTTTCTTCTTTTTTTGAGGGAATGGTTGTTAAATTTGGTTGTATCTTTGATCAGTAAAGTTAGACGTTTGTGAATAAATTATTGTAACTGATATATTACCTTAAAGCTGAAGTAAATCCTCACAAACAGCTACAGTATGTCTAAAGATCCATGCACAGGTCCTTAGCTCTCAAAACATGTGCGTTTATTTTTTTTCTCCTTGGCCACATCTTCAGTCTGGCTTTTTCGGTGATACTCCTAACTCAGCTCTCATGGAAAAGCTAAAATGTTTAATGAAATGATGACAGCATTCTGTGGTCCAATTTGTTTCTTTCTGGGATAAACAAAATATTGATGAAACAAACAAAAAGTTAACTGAGTCTATACATCCAAAAATAAACCAAATATACCAACGTTACTGTCAAGCTTTACTTAATTCTACATTTCCCCTTCAGCGGTGATAGATGATTGTACTGCAGAGAGACAGAAGAGCTCAGTAATTGGAGTCCTTCATGGCGGTGTCACACTCCTTTTACAGAAAGGCTAATCAGAAGGCCTGTGTGCATCCATGAGAGGTGTTAAATCTGAGGTCTTGGAAAATACTGCTGTTAAAACCACCATAGTCCTGAGCTAGGAGCAGTCCCGTTTGATTTGAGGCGAGCTAAGTAAGGCAAGAAATAGAAATGTTAAAAGTAGTATGCATTCTGAGCAAGTAGCACTTAAGGATGTGCTCTTCAGGCAGCTGTACGTGTCATTTCATTCAACTTTAATAAGGATAACATTATGAAGTGTGTGTGGAAACTGGTGGTTTAATTCTTGTTAAAGAAGTGTTTGATAAATGTATAAATATACCGTATATATAGTACACTATGATTTAACTTCCTGTTTATGCCTTTTCCCTGTTGTGAGATCCAGAATTATGAAAAATGATATCCATAGTCATTGTAATTGCCATAGTTATTATCTATGCAAATCAAAATATAGCTTTTAAATTGATTATCAAATTGGACGAAACTGAAACCGTCGAGTCCTTTTCACCTCTCCAAAGATGATGGTGTTTGCTTTGCCACTGTAATTGCTCGTAAACCTTGAGAGGCACAAAAATAAAAGCCTCTGACGTTTGCTTCTCTATTTGGATTTTATTTTTGTTTCAAACGTCTTGGCTGTCCAAGGAAATCAAGAAAATTAATCACACTCAAATACATCTTACCTGATGAATTAAAAAGAAATTAAAATGTTAGAAAAATTAAATTTTGGGACATGTAAGTTGTTTTCTCTTGTCTTATCTGTCACACGAAACCGTTTTTAAGCAAGTTTGAGTTACCCAAACTCGTTTTAGGCAATGTGGTAGAGTTAAAGTGTCTTGCATAAGGACTTAAGGACGTTTTAGCGCTTAACAGCCACAGCCACTGGCCTTCCATCACAGTACTAACCAGGCCTTGCCCTGCTTAGCTTAAGATATCTAATGGGATCTGGCTTTCACATGCAAGTATGGCCAT